GTCTATAGTCTAGTCTATAGTCTAGTCTATAGTCTAGTCTATAGTCTAGTCTATAGTCTAGTCTATAGTCTAGTCTATGGTCCAGTCTATAGTCTAGTCTATAGTCTAGTCTATAGTCTAGTCTATAGTCTAGTCTATAGTCTAGTCTATAGTCTAGTCTATAGTCTAGTCTATAGTCTAGTCTATAGTCTAGTCTATAGTCTAGTCTATAGTCTAGTCTATAGTCTAGTCTATAGTCTAGTCTATAGTCTAGTCTATAGTCTATTCTATAGTCTAGTCTATAGTCTAGTCAATAGTTTAGTCTATAGTCTATTCTATGGTCTATTCTATAGTTCAGTCAATAGTTTAGTCTATAGTCTAGTCTGCAGTCTGTTCTATAGTATATTCTACAATCTAGTCTACAATCCATGCTATAGTATATTTTAAAGTTTAGTATATTATCTAGACTAGTCTCGCCTATAGCCTAGTCTATAGTCTAATCTATTGTATAGTCTAGTCTACACTCCAGGCTGGAGTCTATAGTATATTGTCTATTCTATAGTTTAGTCTAGTCTTGTCTATATTCCAGCCTATAGTTTAGTCTACAATGGATTCTATAATTTAGTCTATTTTACATTCTAATATGTAATCTAGTCTTTAGTCTAGTTTGTGGTCTAGTCTATGGTTCTGACAAATGTTATAAAATCCTTCGTAATTTCGAATGAATATAGTTTGAAGGTATTAAATTGTATATTTTATGTTATAATAAAAACAGTTTTGTCTACATCCATTAACAGCTCTGTCTGTTTGCCAGTAATCAATTCAGATTAATGAATTATGTTAAAAGACTATTACTACGCATGTGTGCATCTTCCAATTCAGACAACAAACACAATTAACAAACGCCAACATCATTATGCTGATCATTATAAATTGATGCATATTATTTACAAATACAGCAATAAAATAAAAACCTATAACTTTTACAAAAATTATCTGTTATAGTTAATAATTTTCAAGGTTTACAACTTCACTCTCGTTTGGCAACCAAGAAAAAACAGTAACAACAAATATTACAAATACAAAATTGTAAAACCCAAACTTATTTGTCTTTATCTCTACTATATGTGTTTAAAAATGTGCATATTCCAAAAACCTACAAAAATCGGGTTCGAATATATTTACAAAATTAAAAAAAAAAAACCTTTGCAGAGCTATAAACGTTTGTGTTGTACTCGTTAACATTTAATTAAAAAAATATAGTTATCATTAATAATACATTTTTAAACATTTATTCATAACAAACAACATAATGATAATAATATTTATGAATGTGGGGGTTTAAAAGCAGCCACCGGCAGCACACCTCTCTAAACAGATTTCAAAAATACAAAATAATCCAAAAAATGTCTTTAAAATTTTGCAGGGTTTCGTTTCAATACTTGATGGATGATGACTGCACAAAATTTCCATGATCGATTAGTTATTTTGATTGATCAATATGTAAGTAAATTTACACAATTGTTTAAGCAAAATCTTTTGCAAGTTACTAGTTTATGTAATTTCTTTAAGTTAATATTTTAACTGATTAAAAATATTTAAAGAAATTTTATGTCACTATTTATTTCATGGAATCTACATACATATGTACATCATTATTTATTTCCTTCCTACTTATGTATTATTAATAAATTCATTATCATAAAAATGTTTAATCAAATTCTAGACGATTGCGTATTTTCTTAAAATTTTATGCTGCTTTTTGCGTAAATGTATTATGTAGATTTTAGAATTTTTTAATATTCGGTTTAAATTAGCATCTACTTAATTTAGAATATTCTTAGTATTTGCAAAAATATCTGGTGATAAAAACACATTTTTTTTCAATAAAACTTGTTTAATGGATGGATGAACCCTATGTTAGGCAATTTAAATTAAAAATTTTAAAATAAATATTTTGATATTTAAAATTGATTACGAGATTTTTTTAGCATTTTTTTGCAAAAAAGTTAAAAATATAATTTTATAATAATCTGTAGTCTAGTCTATAGTCTAGTTTATAGTCTAGTCTATAGCCTAGTCTATAGTCTAGTCTGTAGTCTAGTCTATAGTCTAGTCTATAGTCTAGTCTATAGTCTAGTCTATAGTCTAGTCTATAGTCTAGTCTATAGTCTAGTCTATAGTCTAGTCTATAGTCTAGTCTAGTCTAGTCTAGTCTATAGTCTAGTCTATAGTCAAGTCTATAGTCTAGTCTATAGTCAAGTCTAGTCTAGTCTATAGTCTAGTCTATAGTCTAGTCTATAGTCTAGTCTATAGTCTAGTCTATAGTCTAGTCTATAGTCTAGTCTAGTCTATAGTCTAGTCTAGTCTATAGTCTAGTCTAGTCTATAGTCTAGTCTAGTCTAGTCTATAGTCTAGTCTAGTCTATAGTCTAGTCTATAGTCTAGTCTAGTCTATAGTCTAGTCTATAGTCTAGTCTATAGTCTAGTCTATAGTCTAGTCTATAGTCTAGTCTATAGTCTATAGTCTAGTCTATAGTCTAGTCTATAGTCTAGTCTATAGTCTAGTCTATAGTCTAGTCTATAGTCTAGTCTATAGTCTAGTCTATAGTCTAGTCTATAGTCTAGTCTATAGTCTAGTCTATAGTCTAGTCTATAGTCTAGTCTATAGTCTAGTCTATAGTCTAGTCTATAGTCTAGTCTATAGTCTAGTCTATAGTCTAGTCTATAGTCTAGTCTATCTATAGTCTAGTCTATAGTCTAGTCTATAGTCTAGTCTATAGTCTAGTCTATAGTCTAGTCTATAGTCTAGTCTATAGTCTAGTCTATAGTCTAGTCTATAGTCTAGTCTATAGTCTAGTCTATAGTCTAGTCTATAGTCTAGTCTATAGTCTAGTCTATAGTCTAGTCTATAGTCTAGTCTATAGTCTAGTCTATAGTCTAGTCTATAGTCTAGTCTATAGTCTAGTCTATAGTCTAGTCTATAGTCTAGTCTATAGTCTAGTCTATAGTCTAGTCTATAGTCTAGTCTATAGTCTATTCTAGTCTAGTGTATAGTCTAGTCTATAGTCTAGTCTATAGTCTAATCTATAGTCTATTCTATAGTCTAGTGTATAGTCTAGTCTATAGTCTAGTCTATAGTCTAGTCTATAGTCTAGTCTATAGTCTAGTCTATAGTCTAGTCTATAGCCTAGTATAAATCCTGGTCTATAATCTGATCTGTGGTCTAGTTTATATTCTAGTCTATTGACTAGTCTCTTCTTTTTTTAGTTTAGTCGTTATTAAATATTCGATTTTTATCGCAAATTTCCGTTTCAAATATCTGACGGTTTAGCAAAACTCTAAATTTTCTTTTAAAATCCCACGACTTTTCACCCTAAATTTTATTTTGCAGAAAAAAATCCAATTTTCCACTAAAATTCCATTTTTTTAAGCGAAATTCTGTTCAAAATATCTGACTTTTCGGCAGTAAACTAAATTTCTTCTTAAAATCCGACTTTTCGCCAAAAATTTGATTTTCAACAAAAATCTGATTTTCCGCTAAAATTTTAGTTTTCAGCAAAAATCTAGTTTTCCAATAAATGTTCGATTTTCCTCCAAAAATTCGAATTTTTACAAAAATTCCGATATTTCACCATAATTTCATTTGAAAAAAATTCTAGCAAAAAGCCCTTGGACCAAATTTTTATAACTTTTAACCTTTAGCACCGGTATTTCCAAATCAAGTGCAATATTTTATGAAAAGTAGTTTACAAATAATTCGTTTAATACCTGTTTATAATTTAAGATTTTTTAATATTGAGAGTAAAAGTGTTGTTTCTTTGCGTTTTCATAAATTCAATTTTAGTCAAACTTGTTTAAAGTTTAAAACAATTTTTATTTGTTTTAAAATATACACCCGTTTATCAACCTATTTAAAATTATGCCGGTTTTACTTTTTTAAATTTCAAGGACATTTAACTCTCTGCTATAAAGCAGATAAAGGTGATTACAATTGCAACATATTTATTGGTTGCGGTTGCTGCTGCTGCTTCTGCCGGCAGCTGCTGAATAAGGTTTTTTTTAAAAGAAATAATAAATTATTAAAGTGTGTATTTCACCTCTAGGTATTGCATTTTTTGTGCAATTTGTTAAATTCCCAGTAAAATATCGTTAATACAAATATCTTTATAAGATTTCTTGCGTGTTTTAAACTGGCTTTAACAAAAGCGGGGAGACTGAAGAAAACAGTGTTAAACATAAGTTTAGAGTTTTTAAAGAAAAGAATTTATATGTATAATATTTTTATTAAGAATGTATTTATAAGTGTTAGTTTCTATTGGCTTAATTACATATTGACTTGATTAAGAAAACATTTCCTGGAATATTTAACCGCAAACATATTAACAATAAAAGTTAGATTCTATTTACGTCAAATGTCAAACAAGTTACCTTTATTATGCAAAAGCGTGTTTTTTATCGTTTTGTAGTTTTACAAAAATATTTACTTTCTTAAAGAATGACACATATTTACGATCATAATCCTAGAATAAAACATGTAATAAATTATAGTTAGACATGGCCGACTATATTTGCACCCAACTTCAACGATTGGTTCCTTATAAAGTTTCATTAAAATAAGTCTTTCAACTTACGTTCGTATAGAAAATCTTTAGTCTTCGCATAGAAAATATTGAGTTTTTCGACTATAGTTTTCGTATGGAGTTTTTGTTTAGAATATACTTAATCTTTCGACTAAAGTTTTCGTTAAGATAATCTTTTGACTAAAAGTTTAATAAAAGAAAACTTTATTCGAAAATCTTTAGTATTTTGACTAAAGTTTTCATATAAAAAATCTTTAGAGTTTTCGTATAGAAAATCTTTAGTCTTTCGAGAAAAGTTTTCATATGGAAAATCTCTAGTTGACGTCGTTAAGGAAGACTTATATTTCGAATAGAATTTTATAAAGATTTAATTTTCAGAACAAAAATTTTATTAAGAAAATCAAATTTTGAAAAATTACAAAACATCAGTCCAACATTACTAATCTCCTTCTCCCTCCCCATCCGCCTGATCACCTTCATCTTCTTGCTTTTGCAGCAGACTTAACTCCGAAGGTGGTAATGAACCCACTTCGGTGTTCTGCAATAGATCAGCATATGTTTCTAAACCCCAATCACAATCACCGATTAAATTCTCTTCCGCCATCGTTTCATACCAATACCAACGTTCTGTATTACCACCCAAAGATTTATTCAGATGTTTACGACGTTCTTGACCACGATGTAAGAATTCCGCATAGTCTATATCATCAAAAGTATCAAAATCATTCATCATATCATTAGCTTCGTTTTCGATAAGTTCATAAGTTTCCACTGTTTGCATAATGTTCTCCACCGATGATTGAATCATATCATTGCGTTGTAGGTCTGGAATTTCTTGTGGATATATACGTAAACGTACTGCTGCTACTTCGTCGCCAACGCGTTTTAGAACATCCGCCAAGGATTGTTTTTTGGCTAGTTCGTATGCTAAACGTTCTTTTTCTAAGGCAGTTTGTTCATTTAGTTGTTTTTCATTGACACGTTTTCGGGACATTAGAATACCCAGGAGACGATTAAGATTTAATTCGTACCATTGTTTTTTCATGCGTTCCGTGTAGGTGGTATGGGTGGCAGGTTCAGCAGCTCTGAAATTATTCATAAATAAAATAAATATTATAATTGAAATCAAAACGATTCTATATATAGATGAGCATAGAAACTAGATCAGAGATGTCGTCTGAATTCATTGATTCTACGTTCTCTTAATTTTTTGTTGAACTTCAATATGATTAAAATTACTTTTTAGCCTCCTCTTCCTCTTTGGCTCTACGATTCGCCATTAGTACAGCTTCCTTTTCAATCCGTTCCATTTCTTTATGGGCCTCCCGTTCTGCTTGCAGTTTTGCTTCTATGAAATCTTTATTCTTTTCATAGTATTTGTGTTCCCAAGCTTGTATTTCCTTTTTGCGTGATTCTTCCTTCAATATATATTGCTTCATATCCTTAAAATTAAAACAAAATCATTTATATTGGAAAGCTTTCTTATAAGCCCAATTTACCTCCACTTCCTGGTTCATAACTTGATATAAACTTTTGGGTAATTTAACCATGCGCAAACTGCTATTGTAATCTCCAATGCCTAATAACTTCTCCGGTTCAGAAGGTTTATGTTCGCAGATATTGGTAACAATACCCCCGCCCAAGGTATCGTTTAAGCAGGCTTCATCATCTCGGGCTTGAAATTAATTCAATATGATATTATTTAAATAATCTTCCTTTTAACTAACCAACTTACACAATATATCCCAAGCCTCCAAACTACCATCGATACGTGTAAGAAACAAAACCGAGGGTCTTGATTCACTCCAGGCCACTGCCGTCAAGTCACTCTGACATTTACGCCAAAATATCGGAGAATAATTGTAGTCCTCTTTCCAAACCGCAAATACAAAACGACCAATCGAAACAAAAAGCCAAGGAAAGAAAGGATTTCGTTTCATCGAAATCACAGGACCATCATGAACTCGAGCAAAATTCAAAGAAGTATTAACCACCTCACGACCATCGGCATCGGCGTAAAGACCCAACCAGTTTAAACGTTCTATGCGGCCATAGTAAGAAGCAGTTATACAAGTTTGCCTTATTTCAGGCACTTCCAATTCCTCGGATTCTATAGCATAATTATAAAGTGATTTAGCCGACTTTCCTTCTCTCTCCTTTAAAAGACATTTAAAGACTGGCGTATCCGCTAATACCGCTGTCAATGGTTCATTGAAGGCCACTGTAAAAATAGGCGCCAAAAATTTGCCCTTATAGGCAGATTCACTTTGTGTTAGTTCTTTTGGTAAATCACGTCTTAAGCCACTGCTAACTTTTTTACCCGCCTGAGAATCTAGATTCCAAAATGCTATAGTACCATCCATAGAACTAGTCATAAAATAACGATATTTAGCTGATTTTCCCGGGTCAGTATAAAGTTTGCCAAACGTATTAATGAAACAATGACTAGCCAGCCAGTATATTGCTGTTATACAGCCCTTTTGAGAATTCTCCAAATTTGATACGGTAGCCGGTGTTACTAGCATTTTTTCATTGATTTGTATGGTCCATTTCAGAAATTCATTCATTAAGACACGGTAGTGTATCTGAGAAGACGAGAGCATTTCTTCATTATCTAATTTTTCGGCACGATTTTGTAAATCCCATAAAATAATTTGACCATTAATGGCTCCTCCTAACAAAATATTCGGTTCATAGGGACAAAATGATAGAGTAATCACTTCCAAAGGGGATTCAAATTCCAGTTTATAATTTAGATTATCACTAAAGCTCCACATTAAAATGGGTTTGGCTTCTAAAACGGCTCGCTGTATGTAGTCATGCTGGGTGCTAACTGTTCTAAAATAGTTTTTAAGAGTTTTAATGTTCTTATACAGTTTTATTAGACTTACTCGATTCTATGGTGGCGGCCGTACTAAAGGTATAAGAGGTTACAATTAGACCTGCTAGAGCAGGATACCAATCGTAACCGCATACATATCTCTGATGACTTTTAGCTATATTGGCAAAACATAGAGTTTCTTCTAGATAGGTAGACGTGTAGTGCATAACACATTTGTCCGATATATAGGGATAGTCATTGCTGAAAGAATATGTTATAAGATAATTTGCCGAATGATCGAACATATGATTTTCTATCTATCTATCTATTTATTTATCTATCTATCTATCTATCTATCTATCTATCTATCTATCTATCTATCTATCTATCTATCTATCTATCTATCTATCTATCTATCTATCTATCTATCTATCTATCTATCTATCTATCTATCTATCTATCTATCTATCTATCTATCTATTTATCTATCTATCTATCTATCTATCTATCTATCTATCTATCTATCTATCTATCTATCTATCTATCTATCTATCTATCTATCTATCTATCTATCTATCTATCTATCTATCTATCTATCTATCTATCTATCTATCTATCTATCTATCTATCTATCTATCTATCTATCTATCCATCGATCTATCGATCTATCGATCTATCGATCTATCTATCTATCTATCTATCTATCTATCTATCTATCTATCTATCTATCTATCTATCTATCTATCTATCTATCTATCTATCTATCTATCTATCTATCTATCTATCTATCTATCTATCCATCGATCTATCGATCTATCGATCTATCGATCTATCGATCTATCGATCTATCTATCTATCTATCTATCTATCTATCTATCTATCTATCTATCTATCTATCTATCTATCTATATATATATATATATATATATATATATATATATATATATATATATATATATATATATATATATATATATATATATATATATATATATATATATATATATATATATATATCTCTATCTATCTATATTATTGTTTAACTTACCGATACATATCAATTTGATTGAATTCCAATGTCTTCAGTAACAATTTAACATTATCAGAAACTTCCGGCGGTGGTTTTGATTCTTTTGACGGCTCTGGAGTAGTAGGTTTACTTATAGGCTTCTCTTTACTTTCTTCTTCTTCAGATTCCTCATCCAAACAATCATCTATATATTAAAACCCTAATAAAAAATCACGGCAACCGAAAATATATTATTTACTCACCCTCCTCGTCTATCTCATACAGATATTGAGCCCAAGCATTTGTGGGAAACGTAGGATCTGTTTGTTGTTCTATATCAATGCGGGGAAATGATGATTGTATGCCTACGGTTATACGACGTCGTGAGACATTTTCGAAACGTGCATTCTCAGCAGGTATCAATTCAACATAACCATCTCTTACATCTTTTGTTAAGCGAAAAGAAAATTCTTTATCAGCCGGTATAGTCAAGGGATAGACAGATTGTATTTCAACATCAACTGGCTCGTGATAACGTTGAGCAATGGTTAAATTAACCTCATCTTCACTGCCAAAGGAAACCCATCTACGAGGCTGTCTCAACAGTCGTTTATTAATGATTAAACGTTCAAATGTCTCCAAATTACGTATTATCGCCAAAGCCAACTTAGCATCAGCTGGATTAACATATAAAACAAAAGGGTCACCTGCCGGAGGTTCTTCCATATCTTGAGTGATTATGGGCACATAACCCACAAGAACATGACTGTCGAGATCATAACCCTGAAAGGCATTATGCAACAATTGACCATTTGACAGATCATCAAATAGATTGTCACGCAATTCTTTATATGGTATCTGTTTCCAGGGAAATTCTTGTGTAACATTAATGCCCACTACTAGATTAAGTAGTTTCTGATTAGCTTCTTTTATAAACATTTCCTGGCAAGTCGGTAAAGTTAATAAAGCATCCCAGGCCATATTGATATCGTAAGAAGATTCCGTCAATTCATTTTCATTTTCCGGCGGTGTCCATTGTAAAACTTGCCGATTTGTTCGTATGAATCTTAAATTTTTTAAAACAGTTATTAGTTATAAAATTATTAAAAAAAAACACTATGTATATGTCGTCTACTTAGTCCTTTCATCTTCTACTGGTTCCGCTGGCGGTTCCTCAGGATTTGTTACCTCGGCCATATTTATTAAATAACAATTTTATTTTTCTTAGATTTTCTTATAATTATTATTTTCTATTGATTTGTTACATTTCTATTACCATTTGATAGATTAGTAAACAAATTTAAATCACCTTGCCAACATAGACAAATTTTTATTATTATTATACACATTCAGTTCCGTTTCCTTTTTCAAACCGTGGGTATTATTATTAGTACACACTTGAGTGCTAATTAATAGGCAATCAACTTTTGTATGAAAAACTATCTTAATGAGTAAGCAGCTATAGAAAAACTATAGAAAACTGTCTTAAAAGCAAGAAACTTTTCTATAGAATACTGGCGTGGTATTCTACCAACTTTTCTATAGAAAACTGGCTTTGTATATAAGCAGCTTTTCTATAGAAAATTGGATTTCTATGCATGCAACTTTCCATAGAAAATTGGCTTGTTATGCAAGCTACTTTTCTATAGAAAATAGGTTTGTTATGCAACCACCTTTCTATAGAAAATTGGCTTGTTATGCAAGTAAAAGGAAATGTTTCTTGAAATGCAAACAAATTTTCTTCTAAAGAAGAAAAAATATAACGCTCGAAAAGGTGCTTGTCATCGTTTTTGTTATCGGCGATCTATCATATCTAACATTAACAATTTGTGTTTTTTTAATCAAGCGTTTTTCAGCTTTTTGACTAAAATCTATATTTTTTTAATGGTGTTATATTAAAATTATTTAGTACTCCTTCCATTTTGTTCATTATCTATAATTTAATTAGTAAATTAAATAAAAAAATTAAACAGAAAATGTTAATGTTGTACCAATATTGTTGTACTGTGTTTTTAATCGCTACAATTATGAATTTTTAACTTTTAATTTAGTGGTTTTTGCTACTAAAAACATAACAACACTATTGAGAGATGTCATCAAATGGTCTGAAAAGAGACAGCTATAGGAACTTTTAATAGAGACAACAATAATTTTAATGATTAATTGTAAAACTCGCAAAAAGTTAGAAAAAGTTGTAGTTTTTGTGTGCTCCCATAAAAATATGTTAATTTAAGTACTTAAAACCTCGAAAAAATTTATAATTTTATAATAAATAGTTAAAAGAAGGTATATAGCACCTCGGTGAATAGAAATTTTAATGTTGAACAAAAAATTTAACGAGAAAAAGTGAATTTTCTTTGTGTGAAAAAATTGCATATGTACAATATCAAAGGTGCAGCAGGGCAATCAATGCTGCGGCAGTGAAGTTGACGTCAACGTTTTTCTTTTGTCATATAGGAAATTTACATACAAACTTGAATATGTTAAATGGTATTGACGCAGTTATTAGAGGCAGTCCCATTTTTGTTATCAATTTCTTATAGGAAAATTTACATTATATTGACATGGAATAAATGAAGATTTGTAGAAACAGACAGCCTTTGCTGCAAACTGCATTGCGCACAAACAGCGCTGTAATGAACACCACCAACACAGGAAGAAGTTATTGATTATTTTTCTTGGTATTCTCATAAAAAAAGTCAAAGAAAATGTTTTTCAAAATGTTAAAAGAAAAGGTTTTTGCTTTATAAGAAATTTATTTGAGAATAGTTTTTTATTCAAATTTGTGTGATTAATTAATGATCAAAAACAAGTGGAGAAAATATTGGTAACAAAAGTGTTTTTGTAATACAATGATGACATCATCATTAAAGCCTTATTTAACCCATTTTAAAGTTACGCCTTTAAATTGTTAAGAACATAAATGTTTATTTTTTGTTTGTATAAATTAAAATTTGTGAATTAATTATATTGGATCGCGATATTATTAAAACAGTTATATTCTTACATTAAAATTTTAAACATTTTATTCGGAATTATTACTTTAATTAAACTGTTAATTTTTTTAATTTCGATATACATAGACCCAGTTCTCTATTGAACCTTTAGGGAACCATTCTTCCGGTACTTTCGATATTCAATTCCTTAGAGGTCTGTTGTCTACATAAGTATATCAATATTTTTATGCCTTTTTCTATATCAATAAAGTGAAATGATTGGTTAAAAAAGCTGTTTTGAAATTAAATTGTATTCCTAAACTGATGTATAACGTGCCCCAAAGTACTTTGCAGCTAAAGCTTTAAAGCACTTGATAAACCCAACAATGTACCTAAAAACTAGTTCTAGAAATTAAGGTGATATCACTAGCAAAAATAGCTTATTTATTACTAGACTAGAAGTCTCTTCTCGGATATATTTTAACTAATTTAGACTTAATTATAATAAAGAAATCTTTGTAATCAAAAATTTATTTAATATAATTTCAGATTATAAAAATCCTCTTAACTAACTTCTACACACAAAGCCTGTAAAAAAGAAAACCAACAAATTCTAATTTCATCATTACCACCAATTGTCACAAAACACAAACAGTTACCAACAAAATGGATCGTAAAGCAGAATTAGAACGTAAAAAAGCACGCTTGGCAGCTTTGCGTGAAGAAAAGGACAGGCGTCGTCGTGAAAAGGAAATGAAAGATATGGAAGAAGTATCAGTACGAGCTGATAAAGATCAAAGAAAGTAAGTACAATTATTAAAAGGCAAAACAAATATCACTATATATTTTAATAATTTACAGAGATTTAGATGAAATGCTTTCTTCTTTGGGTGTTGCACCCGTTTCCGAAGTGCTCACCTCTTTGTCATCAGTTAATTCATTAAATTCGGATAATTCAAATACTCAAACACCCGATGCTAGTTTGCAAACAAATATGAATGGTCCCAGGTATAATTTATCACTTATTTTTTATATTTTTTTGAAAATAAATATTTATATGGAATATTTTTGTTTGTTTTAGTGCCGGCAAAAAACCATTAAATTTGAGTGTTTACAGTGTTCAAGCTACTAACATTCCACCAAAAGAAACTCTTACCTATTCAAAACAAACCCAAACCAATAGTAGTGGTGGTCATGAACGTGATGGTACGTATTTTTATATTATTCTTTGTTTTCCTTTATATAGAGTTTCGTTACTAAATTTATGTTTTCTTAACAAGTTCCCTTTTTATTAAGTATTTTATATACATACTAACTTTTTTAAAATATGGAATGTGTTTTTTTTTTTCGTTTTGACCTGTTTATGTAATGCTATTTCTTATTATTGCTCATGTTTTCATATTCATATTCCTTGTGCATTTTCATAATTCTATATTTAGAAATGAGTACACGTACACTTCTAAATTGAATATGATTTGCTTAATATGTAAATGATTTTTTATAACTGCATTGGCTATTATAAATGGAATCTTTTTAGAAAATATGTAATTTTTCGTTTTCAAATCTTTTGTATGAAACAGTTAATTTCAATTACAAAACATTAGTTTCCATCTAAAAGTTATCCCTTTTCTTGTCTTTATTATGGAATTATAAGCCAATTTGAACAATTTAGCTGCTCTGTTTTTAACATTTTAATACCAGTTGCTCTGATTTTGTAATGTCTTCATACAAATGTTAGGGATTGTTTGCATATCGTTGTTTAATTTGAAAAAAATGTTTTTCTATAACAACTGATTGCTGCAGTTTAGAAATCATAAAAGTTCATCGATTTATTTTTATTTGTTGAAAAAATTTTTGAATTTATTTAAATCCCTAGAAATTTTATATTATTTTTACAATTATTATTTACTATATAATATAAATTATGTAACGCTAGGATAAATGATTGTTGTTTAAAATCGACACCTTTGGAACTTGTTCTAGTTCTCGTTCATTTCATGTTTAGTCCAGTTCTAGTTCATTTCATGTTTAGTCCAGTTCTAGTTCATTTCATGTTTAGTCCAGTTCTAGTTCATTTCTACTACAGTTCTAGTAAGGTTCTAGTTCATTTCTAGTCCTGTTCAAGTTTAGTTCTATTTTAGTCATTATTCATATAATCATTATTCTATATCAATTCTAGTTCAGTTCTAATTCAGTTCCAGTTCAGTTCTAGTTCAGTTTTAGTTCAGTTCTAGTTCAGTTCTAGTTCAGTTCTAGTTCAGTTCTAGTTCAGTTCTAGTTCAGTTCTAGTTCAGTTCTAGTTCAGTTCTAGTTCAGTTCTAGTTCAGTTCTAGTTCAGTTCTAGTTCAGTTCTAGTTCAGTTCTAGTTCAGTTCTAGTTCAGTTCTAGTTCAGTTCTAGTTCAGTTCTAGTTCAGTTCTAGTTCAGTTCTAGTTCAGTTCTAGTTCAGTTCTAGTTCAGTTCTAGTTTCTAGTTCAGTTCTAGTTCAGTTCTAGTTCAGTTCTAGTTCAGTTCTAGTTCAGTTCTAGTTCAGTTCTAGTTCAGTTCTAGTTCAGTTCTAGTTCAGATCTAGTTCAGTTCTATTTCAGTTCTAGTTCAGCTCTAGATCAGTTCGAGTTCAGTTCTAGTTCAGTTTTGGTTCAGTTCTAGATCAGTTCTAGATCAGTTCTAGTTCAGTTCTAGTTCAGTTCTAGTTCAGTTCTAGTTCAGTTCTAGTTCAGTTCTAGTTCAGCTCTAGATCAGTTCTAGTTCAGTTCTAGTTCAGTTCTAGTTCAGTTCTAGTTCAGTTCTAGTTCAGTTCTAGTTCAGTTCTAGATCAGTTCTAGTTCAGTTCTAGTTCAGTTCTAGTTCAGTTCTAGTTCAGTTCTAGTTCAGTTCTAGTTTAGTTCTAGTTCAGTTCTAATTCAATTCTAATTCAGTTATAATTTAGTTCTATTTCTGTTATAGTTTAGTTCTATTTCCGTTGTAGTTCAGTTCAAATTCTATTATAGTTTAGTTCTATTTTAGTTCTATTTCTGTTCTTGTTCCTTAAGCTAGAATTTGGATTGTGGTTTGCCCTTCTTTAAAATTTTTTAACCAACACGTCGCCATCCAATAGCTTCTGTTAAGCTACATATATGCAATTTATAAACGTGTTATTTTTGAAACAACAAATTTTTTCGGGGGAGTTTACTTCGTCTAGTAATAATTTTTATCCCATAATTTTAATCATTATTTATGTATGAAAATGTTTAGCATGTTTTTTTATAATCATTAATAACCTATAAGTCCAAAATGTTTAATATTAATAATGTTATAAAACAACAAAGTTGTTAAAAAGGGAATACTAGAATA